TTCGGCATCTGCATCCCATTTTTGGCCTCTGTGTGCCCTGTTTACAGCTTACACACACACACACACACACACACACACACACACACACACACACAGACATTTCCATTGTGTAGCCAAATACTTAGTTATAAACACAGCTACTTTTAAAAGGATCTGTCTTTTTTGCAGTGTGTAGTTGGCTACATCATGGGCTGAAAAAGCTCACCTTGATGGGAGATAATGCTGAATTAAAAAGCCAAAACCTCTGAAATAAATGCAGTAATGACAACAAGACTCTTCCAGTTCTAAATCTTATGGAGCCAAAATGTCGGCCTGAGTTTTAATTAATAGAGTGCCTTATGGGTTTCTCAGAAATAATAATAAGGCATTAAGGAAATAAATCTGCCAGGCTGAATTATATTTTGTTGTACCTATATTTCAAAACCTTTATTAATGAAAAAAAAATTCAGTTATTTGAAGCTGAAAATGTAAACTATTTTAGGGAAATACACACACACACACACACACACACACATGTATCACACATGTGCTAGTTGTTCCTGACTCTAGGGGGAAGGTGATCATCTCTGTTTCAAAGCTGAAGAGCCAGCGCTGTCCAAAGACATCTATGTGATCATGTGGCTGGCATGACTAAATGCCGAAGGCGCACAGAACACTCTTACCTTCCCACCAACGGGGGTCCTTATTTTTCTATTTGCATTTTTAACATGTTTTCAAACTGCTAGGTTGGCCCAAGCTGGGACAAGTAATGGGAGCTCACCCCGTTACGCAGTGCTAGGGATTCAAACTGCCAACCTTTCTGATCGACAAGCTCAATGTCAGCCACTGAGCCACCGTGTCCTTTATACATACATCCATACTTATAGTTACTTATGTGATTTTCTTTTATGATTATTTCCCCATTTTTAATATTTTTTGCACTATGAGAATGTGAAAACCACACGTATACAAAGACTTTTTTGTTTTTCTCTTTTCTACATGCGTGAATACATGATAAGGCAAAGTAAGACAGTTGTCATAAATTGGCAGGCATTTGTCCGTAATTAAATGTATTAATCTCGTAATTTTCTGAGAACGGTGTGGTAGCCTAGAGGTGGAGCTCTCGCCTCACAGTCAGGAGGCTGTGAGTTCGATTCTAGGTAGCGGCAGATATTTCTCCCTCTGGGAGCAAAGAGAAAATATCTGCTGTGAACCCTGCTGTAGGCATCAGGAAGGGCATCTGGCCAGTAAATGCTCAGCTCTGTTCAGTCGCTCCAACTCAGTGGTGAGTTGCAGGCGGTACGCCCTAGTATGGGTGTACTGGAGCCTGCCCAGAGCACTGGGTACCACTCCAGTACGGTGCTCCGGAGGGCCCACCTGCCCGTCCGCACTCCTTACCTGTTTTTATAGTCTTTGGCGCTTCCCCGCACGGCGCATACAGTGCCTGTGCGATGAGCAGCTGGAGCATCGCGGAGGCATCGCTAGACGGCAAGACGCATGGTCATGCTGCGCGAGTCCATGTGGACGACACCGGGCCCGTAAGGTTGGAACGGGATCCGGAACCCACCATTGCTCCAACTTCACTCTATTGCTATTCCAGAGAGCAGGATATGGAATAATAGACCGAAGAAGAACCATTTCAGCGTATTTTGGGGACTGGAGAGGAATCTCAATCAGAGCTGTTTAACAGGGAAACCAATTATCCGCTTTGCTAGATTTGTTCAGGTAGGAGATAGACAGCCATCTGTCAGGGGTGCTTAATTTGGATTCCTTCGCCAACCTAGGGGCTGTACTGGATGACCTCAGTGCCCCCGTCCAATGTCTATGATTGCATTCCACTCCCCCAAGGATGGAGACACCCGAAAAAACCCTGCAGTCGTTTACTATTAACTAGCCCAATGCTTTCCGTTCTGCCCTTCATTCTTTGTGTGTTCAACGCAGCGGGCTTCGCTCCCTTACACCCCTCCTGATGAAACTGATGCTGATAGTGTTTGGCTTCATTACAGCCCGGCCAAATCAAATACACCCAGTCCCTGCTTCCTTGTATGCCCAAGCGCTCCACTTAAACTGGGAGAAAGCAAAGAAACTGGAATATTGTCTCATCATGCATTCTAAATCAGCCGGGGTAGAAAATAATGGGGAGTTAATCAGATCACCGAAACCTAATTCACTCAGTATTGATTGGGCTGATACCTAATGGGACGGCAGACCCATTTCAAATTACAGTAAGCTGACTTATCCTAGCATGCCAATGATTTGCCTGGAGGAAGAAAACGCCGCCCCCCCCCAACCCCCAACCCCCACCTGATCATGAGGTCCGGGTGCATGAGAGGGCTGCCTTCCCAGAAGGCCGGAATGCATAATGCAACGTGGCATTTAGCTAATTAATAGGAGGCCGATGAAAGGTGGCAGTGAGGAGTTTGCAATTTCCTTTAAATCAGCATGGCATGGGGGAGCCCTGGACTTGAGGCATCCAGGAACTCCTTGGACAGAAAAGAAAAGAGGGGGGGGGGAAATGCATCGCAAGCAGATGGAAGGTAATGCAATTAAAACTGGACTTGGAATTATATTAATCGGTAGTTTCATTCCCCCAACTTTAATGCATGTTGCATTGAGCTCTTTTCCTTTTCCATCCAACTGCAGAAGGGGTCTCGGATGATCAGCGACCAGAATTAATGAGAGGGAATATTGTTTTATGCAGAGATAGGAAGGCCATAGAGCTCTCTGAAAGCCTTCTACAGGCTATGCACGGCCATTTTGGTGAAGGGGTGGGATTTGGGAGGCAAAAAATGCAGGGCTGGGGTGTGCTGTCAGGAAATTTCTCCTGGGTTCTAAGTTGCTTCTCTCCTTGATTAGTTTCCACCCATTGCTTCTTGTCCTGCCCTCAGGTGCCTTGGAGAATAGCTTGACTCCCTCTTCTTTCTGGCAACCCCTGAGATATTCGAACACTGCTATGATGTCACCCGTAGTCCTTCTTTCCTTAAACTAGACATACCCAGTTCCTGCAACCGTTCTTCATATGTTTTAGCCTCCAGTCCCCTAATCATTTCTGTTGCTCTTCTCTCAGAGGTGGGTTCCTACCAGTTCGCACCTATTCGGTAGAACCGGTTCGTCAAATCTACCAAACCGGTTAGAAGAGGTTCCANTTAAAGCTGTCAAGTTTGAACACCTCTGGGGTTTTTTTCCTAAAGGATTAGGGGTTGCAAGAGTCTTGTAACTTGAAGCTGAAATGAGTGCTCCCACTCCCGAACTGTTACCCGAAAATAAGGCCAGGTCTTATATTAATCTTTGCGCCAAAAGATGCATTAGGGCTTATTTTCCAGTTAAGTCTTATTTTGGGGAAAATATGGCACTAAAATGCCATATTGCCAAATCTGTCTGGCTGATGATCTTAACTGGGGGTTATTTTGGGTGTAGGGCTTATATTAGGAGCATCCTGAAGAATCACGCTAGAGCTTATTTTCAGTTGGATCTTATTTTGGGGAAAACACGGTACCTATTTAACTACTTTTATTTGCCTGCTTTCAAACTGCTAGGTGGGCAGGAGCTGAGGCAAGTAACGAGATCTCACCAGGAGTGAAATTCAGCAGGTTCTAACAGGTTCTGGAGAACCGGTAGCGGAAACTTTGAGTAGTTCAAAGAAACGGCAAATACCACCTCTGGCTGGCCCCAGAGTGGGTGGGAATAAGGATTTTGCAATATCCTTCCCCCAGGAGTGGCGAGGGAATGGGGATTTTCAGTATCCTTCCTCTGCCATGCCCACCAATCCAAGCCATGCCCACCAAGCCAGTAGTAAAACAATTTGAATTTCACCACTGGATCTCACAGCATTCGGGTTTTGAACTCAGGGCTGTCAGCTTTCCAGCTGACAATCAGCTATCTGAATTTCTAGGGAAATTATGATGTCTAAGGCTTCCCTGGGGGCAAATATTTCCCTCTCTCAGCCTAGGCCATATAGAAATAACCAAGCTACACTGATTTGTATGCCTGATCAATTTATCTGCAAGACACACACATATCTCATCCAGATAATCTACTATTTATATCCCACCTATATATAGATCAGGTTACACTGCTATTTCTATGCTGGTTATTTCTATGGGTTTTGTTGCTATGAACAGCACTTCCCCCTAGATCAGGAATCAGCAATCTGCGGCTCTGGAGCCACATGTGGCTCTTTTATCCCTCTGCTGCGGCTCCCTTTCACCAGTCGGCTCCACAATTGATAGGGTTTTCAGTTAGGACAGGTAGAGTAAAAAGGATGCTGCATTAGGAGGAGATTCTAAGGTTGGCTGAATCGGACTTCCAGTCAGCTCCAGAATTGAACAGGGGGCTTCCAGTTAGGACCTTTGTTGCTCTGTGTTTAAGGTTGCTGACCCTTGCCCTAGATACAGCCACCAATGGCTCTGCAAGGAGATGACATCAGTGGCAATTCAATTTGTCCCCCCACAAAAATTTGCAAAATTTGACCATCACAAATGGAAACGAT